CCCCAAACACAAGCCTTTACTCTGCACCGATAGTTACTATGTACTTTGGACTCTTCGGGCAAGCCCAGGACGCTAAAGCTCAGCGTCCCAGGCTCTCTGATTGGAGATTTACGGTTTCAGGTCTGTTGGATTTCGGAGTTCGAGGTGCAGGATCGTTTGGTGCTGCGTCAAAGGCTTACAGAAAGTTTGGGGCGGAGGTCCAGGCGCCCAAACGTTCAACCCAACCCTAAGCCCTGAAGAGCCTCCAACCTCAAAGCCCTGGGCCTCAAAACCTTACTTAAAGGATCATGGGACTTAGTAAGTAAGGTTATAAGTCCCCTAATTGGAGTTATAAGTATAGTTACCGTAGTTATAACCCTACTTACTAAGTCCCATGATCCTTTAAGTACAGCCCCAGTTCCAGAAACGACCTTTGACACGCAACCCCTAGGACTAAGCCCAAACGATCCTGAATCAAAATCCTGAGCCCTTGAGGACCACCAACACACCACCCCCACAAAACCTCAAAGATCCCACTTAGATAAGCCTGTACTGTACTGGGGACCTAAAAAAGGAACTTAATTAAGAAAACTATCCAAATGTCTAAGCAAAGCCCTATGAGCAAGCTCAACACAAAGCAAAGAGAGAACCCCCCTCAATTTCTCATAACTTGGGCTGTAACAGCGTTTGCTGGGTTGCTTGAAGGACCAGGCAACTGGATAAGTAGGTGCTAAGAGTAGGAACCCTACTAACCATGATCCTGCAAGTAAGCTTTAACCCGTCAGCACAACAACGCAATGTCGTGAACCCAAAGCACAAAGTCTCAAAAACAAAACCTCCAAGCATCAAGCATCTAACCCCAAGGACAGTTCGAGAGATCTTGCACAAAGCGCGCTCGCTTTCCGTCCCAAACCCCTTCAAGCTACCCTTTGTGAGCCCCCAGTCAATCTTGGGCATCAGCCCTAAACCGTCTAAAGCTAAACCCCCAAGCCTACACAATTAGGCCTAAACCCACCACCACCGTAAGCCCCAAACTCCGAAGAACTTACAACTCCTCATAAAAAACATCTGACCATAGAACCCACGCAAGACCCTACAGAAACAGCCCCCCCCAAAAAACCCTACCACAAATCTTAGAGAACCTCTAAGCCCCGAGCCCCAAAGTACCAAACCCTAAACCCTAAACCCCACAGTGAAGCCCAGAAAGTTGGAACATGGGGTTTAGGGTTTAGGGTTTAGGGTTTAGGAGGATTGGTGCTAGTATCCCCGTCGACTTTACCTTAAGGGCATGAGGATATTGATGCTCCAATTTTTTGGCTTCTGCTACAAACCCTCAGACCGGAGCCCCCAAAAGGACCCCACCACAAATCCTAGAGAACCTCTAAGCCCTAAACCCTAAAGTACCAAACCCTAAACCCTATCTAAACCCTAAACCCTAAACCCCAAACCCTAAACCCTAAGCCCTAAACCCTAAACCCTCAGACCGGAGCCCAGCGAGATGAGCTTCCCGACCGGTCTTCGACAGGAGCTGGACGTTCGAAGCTTTGGAAATCGCCTCGGAGTTTCAGAAAACCCAGGGTTTAGGGTTTAGGGTTTAGGGTTTAGGGTTTAGGGACCCAACTCATATCGCCAAACTCCGAAATTTCCATAATATCCTAAAATCACATCAAGCCCCAGCCCTATGACCCAAAAGCCCTGCTTCAACACCCGCATATAAGAAAGATCCAGCGTGCCTGAACCCAGAACCCCGAAGCTCTGAACCCTCTAACTTCCAGAGCCAAACAACTCTACCTGCACTCGGTTTAGGGTTTACGGGTTTAGGGTACACTCCCCCCTCAAAGACACCTTCATCTGCAGCCTTTTTCTTGGCCTTGCCATGCTCTTCCTTGAACACGCCCATTTACCCTAAGGGTCCATGTACTCAAATAGATATACTTTGGCCTAAAGTAGTCCCTGTATAGGTACTTTAGGGCCAATGTATTTACTGTTATATACTATTTGGGTACATGGACCCTTAGGGTCAGCTAAGCCTCCGCCTTTTTGGAGGGTTGACCGGGTTCCGGAGCCGGTCCGTGGAACACGAACATGTTCCTGCCGCCAGCTGCTTTGATGCTGCTAGAACAACAAAGAGAGACAGATGAATTCTAGGTTCCCCAGTAGCCCCATGATAACCAAAAAAGAAAAGGGGCAAAAGGGTACTACTGGGGAACCTAGAATTAGACCCCAGTGGAATACCCGATTCTTTTCAAAGCTCGGACTTCCACCTGGAGGAGACAGCGAATGGGCCTTTCGCAGTGGCCGCAAGAAGCTCCAAGTCTTCGTCTTCGTAGACCAGGAGATGGCCCAGCTCTCAGCAGCGCTCAAATCATCGGCCCAGCCACAGATCGTGGCCTTGAGCACCACCAGCTTGTAGAAAAAAGCTCCCAGCGACCAGGCAGGCCACCACGCTGCATAAGCCCATCTCTCTGGCAGACCCAACAGTCATTGCCCAACGAACGGGCAAAGGGCACACACCAAAGGTGTATCTTTCGTTCTCGCTGCCTGCCTTGGACGGCGCATCTGCAGAACCTGCGCCAAGCCCGCACCAGTCAACCTGCGGCCAATGTAGATGCACTGTTAGTAACTAATCGGCCTAGGTGGCATGTCTTTTGTGTACCTGCATATTTCAACATGTGTCCGCTCTCGGTCGCTACCCCGGTTTATGTTTCCATCTGTTAATCGAATCTAACCCATCTAACCACCCATCCAACTATATGTATGTATACATATTAAAGTGTATACATACAAATTACTTGTATGCTTTTTTATTTATGTTTACAAGTGTTTAAGTATGCGTATACTGTATGTCATACCGTGTGTTGACATCGTCCAATATTCGTTGACCAGGAGCAACGACAAACCCAGGTCCGTTCCGCTCAACTTTCCGAGATCTTTCGCTCGCAGGGTGGCTTTTTGCACAGTGTAAGGGCCTTAATAGTTCGAATAGGGTTTTTGGGATAAGTAGTTACTATAATTCTAATAAGGAGCACCCAAACTGGTATTGGTAGTTATTATGGCCCCTATATTAGCTTTGCAGACCATGTTGTCAATATACAGCAGCTTCCTAGGATGTGCTAGGGCCTCCAGCGCTGAAGGATTCCGAAGATGTTTCTCAACACATATGTACATAATATACGCATGTTTTTGTGTATTTATGGTTATATACATAAATTTGTATGTGGGTATCTCATTGTGTATGTTTGAAGGTATGTATGTCTGTATATGTCTTGAACTAACTGCGATAAAGAGTTGCCTGCACCGCAGTCTACGGCTCGTCGCATGGTCGTAGAAACCACTGAAGAAAGAGTGGATGCTTGAACTGCAGGTACCCATGCCTTAAAGTAGTCCCTTTACGGGCACCTTAAGGCCAAAAGTCTACTAGGGTGCATGCATCGTCAGAGTAACCCACAGGGAAATCCCAGCAGCTTGCCGCAGGTCTCTCTGTTCCTCAAAAACTCTGGGAAGAGGCCTGCTTCATGGAGTTCAGCTGGGAGCATGCGCCCATTTCTTCTGCCTTCCGCGGGCCGCGCAACGTAGCCTGAGAGCTTCTTGTCGGGTTCGGGCATAGGGTCTAGGCTTTCACGAAAGACCAGGAACGCATGGCCCGGGGCAAGCTAGAACCTTCTTGCTTCAAGGGTTGGTGCTATACGGGGCTACTGGAACCAAGAAACTCACATTGACAGTCTGAAACAAGACAAAATGCATTCGATATCAGTCAGTGAAGATAAGCGTGCAAAAGGGTGCTCTACAGAAAACCACTCTTGGAAACTCGCTGGAATGGATCTACTAAGTCTGCTCAATAATTGAAGCAATGGTAAGAACTACCTCAAGTAATGCTGCTAGACCCTAAACCTCACGCCTTGTGCGGAGTACGAACTCAATGAACCAAGTCCGGCTTCTGCGGGCTGCCGCCAGCAATAGACTCTCACGCAAGGCCCTGGAATATTCGGCGCTTATCTTCAACTTTGTACTGAATGTCCCCAAATCCAAGCTCTCAGAGTAGGTGTCTTGATAAGGGAGTTTCAGAAGGTCCTTATAATAGGGACCCTATTAACTAGGGTACTATATTAGGGTCCCCTATTTTCGGAAACCCCCATAATGAGCAGACTTCAACCCGAAACCCCGACATGAAGGTGGTCTGAGAGCCTTCCTTCCGCCTACACCCTCCGTCCTACATGGCCGCTTTGGGGGCATTTGAAAACTTGGTGCAAGGCGGGTCTCTGTTTCATGGGTCCTTTGAAGGACTTCCTGAGCTGAAATCTTTACTCCAAGCTGTGGGAACAAGCTGAACTACTGCAGGGGCCTGAATAGTTAGAATAGGGCTTTGGGCTCCTTTATCGTATGACCATAACAAGGAACCTAAGGAATAATATTGGTAATTATTTAGGCTTCTATAGTAGGTTTCTTCTGCCCGACGATAGGCGCAAGGCAGAAGTTTCATCAGAGCCAGCAAGCCGTCTGATTTTTGCTGCCTACTATGCTACGCTTCTTCGATCGACTGGAACTCGGTGTGTCCTGTAGAGGTTTAGTTGAACAGCAACATGAGAACTAGAGGATCAATGTCGAGGAAACACAGCAGCTCCTTTGAACAATGTGCTGCATCCGACTATTACGAGTAATGCAAGTTTTTCTGATTCCAATCTGATTGCAGAGCTGCTAGTGACAGATTACATGCTGAGCCACACGCAGCAACCCTTAACCCCCAACAAAAACATCCTAGAAGCCTTCACCCTAAACCCCAAGCGCCCGAAGAAGTAGAAGCCTTACCTCTAAACCCTGCCTCCCTGATACTCTTGATGATGCATTACCTTGAGGGCCCTAGACTATGGGAATTATGGCATATTCCTTATTCTGGGTATACCATCAACCGTACTAACCCTCATAGCAACCGTCATAGTGACACTCAAAGGAACCCTTCAAGGAACCTCAACAGAAACCCCCATGGCCGAAGCCGCCCAAGCGCCCTGCTCGAGGACACAAGCTCAACGAATCTGCAGGGTTGTGACAGACAGCCAAAAAGACAGGGGTCAGAGTTTAGGGTGTAAGGGCGCAGCGTTTAAGGGTTAAGGGCTTTGGGGTTGAGGGTTTCGGGCTTATTGGCATATAAAGTTTAGGGCTACAACCACAAAACTGAAAGCTACGACCCGAAACTACATAGCCCTGACACCTAAACCCTTTAGATTAACCCGTAAACTCTAAACCCCTTGTAAAACCCTAAGACCCTCGAACCAAAGCGCCAGAGGGCTTCGAGTTTTAGCATGGGGCAATGCCGAAATTCACTCTGGCAAGCGGCGAAAAGTGTTTAGGATTCAGGGTGGCAAATGCTTGAAGCACTTCGATCAGGGTCCTCTGCCAAATTGGGTTTTGGGGGCCTGCAAGCTGCAGAGGTTCTACCTTTGTGTTTTCTAATTTACACCGTCCAGACGCTACATTCCAAACGGCCGTGCACTACTCTACGCCAGCTACCCAAAACCCAAACCCACAGCCCTACCCAAAACACGAATTCCTTCAACCAGAAGCCACACCAAACCTGAGCCTTCACTAACCCTAAACCCTACCCATAGGTCCCATAGTAGTTCCTTTTTGGGATTACCTTATGGGATTCTAAATATGAACCCCCAAAAAGGAACTACTATGGGGCCTAGGGGTAAAGCCTACAAGCAGAACCCAGGTCCGAACCTTGAGTATGAACTCCCCCGCGTTGCTGTCCACGGACTTCCGCGTCTCTTCCTGTGGAAGGATCCAAACCAAAATATACTATAGTGGGATGTAACAGCACAATGCAACATAATACAACACAACGTAGCATACTGGAACATTGCATAACTGAACATCAAAACCCAATACAATATACTATAGCATACTATATGTGCTACGTCACAAGACCCTAAACCTGAACCGTAAGGAACGGGGTAGGGTGTGGATGTTTCCAAAAACGAAAACGAAAATCCATCCAGTAGAAGCGCATACACACCTGCAACCCCCTGCACTCTACACCCCATGCCGGATCTCATCCCACCCTCAAGTACCCTAAACCCTTAACCCCAAACCCTGATCCCTGGAATCGAAATCTTGCCTTTGAAAATTTCTTGAGGCTGGATCTCTAAACCCAACCTGTGAGCCCACAAGCCTGATACCAATCTATGGCAGCCTTCATCATTGAAGCACGCTTCCTGGGGGCAGTCATCTAGAAACCTTAATAATTAGAGTAGGGCTTTGGGGGGATACTATCGTATCGGTGTAAAAAAGGAGCCCTAGAGGGATACTAGAGGGACAAACCTCAGAAATATTCAATCTTCTACGCTGGATGAATTCACAACTTTTCTCATCATCCTATGCCTGCGCGGATTCCTGCGGTCCCCAAGCCCTCCACGCTCAAGCAATCGTGTCAGATGCACCACAAGGCTTGGAAGGAAGTCAACACCTCTCCAGGACAGTTGCTTCGAGTTTTCTTAACATTAAGGGTTTCAACAAGCATGAGGATGTCTTAGAAAAGGGGGCGCCGCTAGTTGTGGCATCCGCTCCCAAGTTCGTGGACACTGCAAAGAATGAGCACACAACCCTTCAGCATTTCGCGCTCTGGCAGAATCAGGGTCACGTGTTAAGACTACGGTAAGAGTCGGGAAAATAATATAGAATAGTTGGGGCGGTCTAGATCATTTGTTTTGTTCGACGCACGTTTGCAAGCTATGTCAGCTATGCTCATATATTCATCGAACACATTGTTCGGACCACCTATATTTCTGCGAATGATGCGAGTTAGCATCTTGGCAATCAGATTTCGAGCAAGAGGCATAAGAGTTCAGATTCACCAGGGTTGCCTGTAACATCTTTTCACCATGTATAGGCATGCTAGACTGAATCCTTTTCCGTGCTTTCTGAATCCGTTGAGACCCCATGAATCTGCTAAAGTCCAATGCCGCATTAAACCCATGTGAAGCCTCCCAGAACTCAAACCAAAAACCCAAGCCACGAAAGACCTCAATAACCGGAAGCCCCAATGGAACTGTCCATGCAGCTTTGTGGAATGCAACCAAAACCTCCGGACCCTAATGCATCAAAAACCTGTTTGGCGAACCCTGGAATCATCCCAAACCCTTAAACATATTCAACAACCCGAACAAAAAACTTGAGAACCTAGCAACCCACATCCCAAACGAAAGAATCGACACATCTCCCTAGGCCAAGCCCTAAATAAACACCGAACCCAAACCCAAACCCGAATGTATTTGGGGGCTCCTTATTATATAACTATATTATAATGGGTCCCAAATCCTATTCTAAATATTAAGGCCCCTAGATTATACAACCCTCTTTTTGTAGATTCCTTATGGAACCCTTTAAAGGAACCCTGTAAAGGAAGCCTATTCTAATTATTAAGTCCCCTACATTACGCAGCCAGGCCTAAACCCTTTATAGTACCCTTCTAGAACCCCTTAAAGGAACCCTTAAACCCTTGCCTTTATAGACACCTTTAAGGAGCCCTTCAAAGGGAAACCCCAATACCTGCAGCCAGGCCTGGGTCCCCGTAGCGCAGCTTGTGGGCCGTGGCCGCTGAGGTCGCCGCCCAAGCGGCCTGCGAGGGCCGAAAAATTAAGTTTAGGGTTTAGGGTTTAGGGGTTTAGGGTTTAGGGTTTATGTAGGGTTTAGGGTTTAGGGTTTAGGGGTTTAGGGTTTAGGGTGTATGTAGGGTTTAGGGTTTAGGGTTTGGGGTTCAGGGTGTATGTACGGTTTAGGGTTTAGGGTTTAGGGTGTATGTAGGGTTAAGGGTTTAGGGTTTGGGGTTTAGGGTGTATGGTTTAGGGATTAGGGTTTAGGGTGGATGTAGGGTTTAGGGTTTAGGGTTTGGGGTTTAGGGTGTATGTACGGTTTAGGGTTTAGGGTTTAGGGTGGATGTAGGATTCAGGATTCAGCGTTTCGGGTTTAGGGCGGAACGCCAAATCCAAAAAAACATTTAGAGGTAGGGAGCCATCGACCCAGGATGGCTTGCAACAACTTCTGACGCAGAAGCAAACGGCACGAATACGAGCATAGCAATAAGAGGAGTTATCGGAAATCGCAGACGTAGCTGGTGACGACCATGATTCAAAGTGCTATGAAATAACCTTCGCAAACGACACAGGCAAAGGTAGTAAGGTATGGCCTCCTAAACCCGAAAGCCTCAACCCTAAATCCTCAACCCTAACCTCAAACCCTAAACCTCAAAACCCTGAACCCTGAACCCCTAAACCCGGAAGCATGAAGCATGAGGAGATCGTACACCTCAGGTGTACGGACCCACAGAGGGCATTTCAGGAAACCCTAAATGCTGAACCCTAAACCGCTAAACCCCTAAACCCCTACACCTTAAACCCCTAAACCCCTAAACCCCTACAACCCTAGACCCCTAAACATTATAGCCCCTATAGCCTCCAGTGGACCCTGAATACTGAACCCCAGAACCCCCGAGCTGAGGTATCGTCGCGGCGTCGTCCTGGGTATCCAGCTCCTCCTGGCTACATTGGCTTAGGGTTTAGGGTTTTTTTCTTAGGGTTTAGGGCTTAGGGTTTAGGGTTTAGGGTTTAGGAGTTGGGGTTGAGAGTTTGGGGTTTCGGGTTTTGGGTTTGCGAGTTAGGGTTGAGGGTTTGGGGCTTGGGGTTTAGGGTCTAGGGTTTGGGGTTTAGGGTTTAGTGCTAGGACAAAACATAGGAGCTGTAGCAATTAGAATAGGGGCTATCGAGGACGATGATTGTCAGCATCTTCCGACGCATACTACCGCCGTTTTCTCGTGCTGATCGGGCTTCGGGGCTTTAGCTTGTTCTGTGTGCCCGGGTTTAGGGTTTAGGGTTTAGGGCTTAGGGTTTAGGGTGCCACCTTAACCGCATCCAGTCTTCTTCCTGTGTTGGCTCTTGTCTGTGATCTTGCACGAGGTTGATGCAGGGGGCCTCAAATAAGAATTCTGACTTGGGGTCGGGTATAAGATACATGTTATTAGGGTTTTGGGACTATCTTATGCTATATCAATCATATGCTATATTTATAACAAGGAACCCACGAAGTAGTAGAGGCAATGATTACAGTAAGGCCCTACTAAAGTACGCTGACTATAGAACATTATTTCTATTTCTCCGACCCCGACGTACGTGCATGCTGTTCTGGAATCTGGGGTAGGCGGGATAGATGGTTCCGCTTCAGCGATGCGCTTGGGGATGCTGGCATCAGCCGTTCCGCTTAGCGTTCAAATTTCCGAGCTTTTGGGTTTGGGCCTGGGGTTGTGGTTTTGGAGCTTACGGTTCAGGATTATTTCCCTGTCAACCTCCTCGCCAAGCAAGCAACTCACATGCCTTCGAAGCCTCTGGGTTCCATTAGGGTTCTTAATATGGAACCTACTATTTTGGGAGATAAAACCCTAAACCTTAAACCCTAGATACCCTAAGCCCTAAACCCTAAACCCAAACCTCTAAGCCTTAAACCCTAAAGCCTAGATGCCGTAAATTCTATAACTACGGACTTCCAACCAAGCAAACAAGAGCCAGCATCGAACGAGCTTCGGCAAAGCCCGGCTGAAGCCTAATGTAGGGGCCTTGATGGTTTTTGGGGTAAGTTATACTACTACAATTATAACAAGGAACCTCCCAAAATAGTATAGGTAATTATTTAGGCCCCTATATTAACCCTGTGCGATTGTCGAGGTTTACGGAGTTACGGGATGTTTGGTTTGGAGTGCACGAGAAGCCAGAAAGTTGGACATTAGTAGACGCCTCATGGTTTAGGGTTTAGGGTTTAGGGTTTAGGGTTTACGGCTCATGCCCTTACGGTGAAGTCTAAGGGATCCTACGGCTAATTCCAAATCCTCCTAAACCCATGTTTCCAACGTTTTGGGATTCGCTGTATGGTGGGTGTTGAAGGACTTCTATACCTGGGGTCCTGAAGCCAAAACCCTAAGCCTAAGGTCCCAACCCTAAAGCCTAAAATTGGCATCCCAACGAAAACCATAAAACCCTAAAGCCTAAAGACTAAACCCTAAGCCCGAAAGCCAGAACCCCAAACCCTGACGCCTAAAATTGGTATCCCAACCAAACCCCTAAACCCTAAACCCTAAAGCGAAAAAATTGGTATCCCAAGCTCTTAAGCCGACACCCACATCGGTTGTACAGTACAGTATAGAGATCGGTAGATTTAAGTATGAAAATGCCCTTCTAGTTCTTAGAAAAGCTGTAGCACAAGAAACGCCCAAACCCTATTCTAGCTATGGAAGCCCCCGTACGTAGTACGCCAGATAGAGTCTTAGAATGTCTCTGCGGTTCGAAAACCAGACAAAGCCGTAGAAGCTTTAAAGGAGAATGCAAGGGCGTTTAAGGGACACGGGCCTAAGGATTTAGGGTTTACGGATGACGATGAGGGCTTAGGGCTCTGTGGTTTAGAGCTTCGGGTTGAGGGTTTGGACCTGAATAAGCAGAATAGGGATGGAGGGGGAAAGGTGGGGAGTGGAACCCATGGGTTGAGGGGTTTAGGGCGTAAGTTGGACTATGAGGGCAAACGCGTCAGACCCCTATATGAAACCCTCACGCCTGAAAAGCCAGAACCCTTGAAAAGGATGAACGTTGCTACTGTTCCCTGTGTTCTGAACTGTCGGTGTGGAAGAGGGACTGATGCTCCCGATTTCTCTGCACTATTGCAAGGCGGTTGAACCCGTTAGGGCCGCAAACCTGAATCCAAACTCAAAAATGCATACTATAGGGGCCTGAAATAATTAGAATAGGGTTTGGGGGTATATTATACTGTAATTATAATAAGGAACCCCAAAATAATATAGGTACTTATACAATAGTTACTTATAATAGTGAACCCCCACAAATAATATAGGCCATTATTTGGGCCCCTAGATTACCCTAAACCCTAAACCCTAAACCCTAAACCCTAAACCCCTAAAGCCGGAATCCCCTGTCCTCGTCGCTGCAGTTGAAGCTGTCAGCGTGAGGTCTTACGGGCGCCTGGCAGGAACCCCCCGGAACCCGAAAGAGACCCGGAACCCTAAGCTGAGCCACGAACCCTATCGGTTTAGGGTTCAGGGTTTAGGGTTCAGGGTTTAGGGTTTAGGGTTTAGGGTTTAGGGTTTAGGCTTTAGGCTTTAGGCTTTAGGGTTTTGGTTGGACACCAATTTCCGTCTTCTTGGCAACGCTAGCTCAGGAACTCGCTTAGCGCTTTAGGTTTTAGGGTTCTGGGTTTAGGGCTTAAGGGATTTGGGGTTGAAGGTTTCATTCACAACCCACAAAACTCCAACTTAAGAACCGGACCCGAATCTTGGCCCTAAGTAGAAAGATCCTTGAACAAAGCACACCTAAGCTGAAGCAGCCCTTCACTGCAGAAAAGCCACATATAAATTAACGCCCACCAAGGCCGAAACTAACAAATTGCGAAGCACTCACACAACTTCGCAGTGCGATGTCACTGGGCTCCTAGACCTTAAAAGTCGCTCACCTAGACCCTGAACCCTAAACCCTAAACCCCGAACCCTAGGCCCTGAACCCTAAACCCTAAACCCTGAACCCCGAACCCTAGGCCCTGAACCCTGAACCCTAAACCCTAAACCCTGAACCCTAAACCCCCACGGACGTAAGAAGGAGCTCACCACTTCAGGGCTCATGGGGCTTAGGGTAGGGGTTTAGGGGTTTAGGGGTTTAGGGCCAGTTTAGGGTTTAGGGCTTAGGGCTTAAACCCTAAACCCTAAACCCTAAACCCTAAACCCTGACCCCCAGTTTCACGGAGCGCCGCCACCAGCACTGCCATCAGACGCACCGGCGCACCAGCCCCAGGTTTCTCGTCAGAGCTGTCATGGGAGGGGTTTGGGATTTAGGGTTTAGGGTTTAGGGTTTAGGGTTTAGGGTTTAGGGTTTGGGGTTCAGGGCTTAGGGTTTAGTGTAATATACCCCAAAACCCTAGTCTAATTATTATTAAGGCCCCTAAACCCTAAGCCCAAAACCCGAAGTCAGGGTTTAGGAACCCTATTCTAATTAATATCAAGGCCCCTACATTAAAGCCTACAAACCCGAAGTCAGGTTTAGGAACCCTATTTCAATTAGTATTAAGGCCCCTAAACCCCAAGCCCCAAACCCGAAGTCAGGGTTTAGGGTAACCTCTGTGGCCCCAGCACGCGAATAAAGCAGCTCCACCTCCTCGGGCACTGGCCGGGGCCGCGAGCTCATCGCAAGGTCTCTGCTCTGCATTCCCACGCTGTAATTTCTGGTATGGCCTGGTTTTCCCAGGCCTCTCCGTCCCCACTTGCCTCAAGCATTTGGGGTTTAGGGTTTTAGGTTTTAGGGTTTAGGGTTGTAGGTGCAGGTAGTGGGCTGATGGCGTACAATTAGGTTCACTGTTCACTGTAGGGTCTAAGGGGTAGGAAGGGGGAATGAAGGGGTGTTAAAGAATTAGAAAAGGGCTTTGGGGCCCAACATACTATAACCATAATAAGGAACCCCGAAAAGAATATAGGACAGTATTAAGGCCCCTACATGGTCTAAGATGAACTTAGGGCTTCGGAGAGGCCCGCGTTTAGGATTAAGGCTTTAGGATTCGGGCTTAGGGGTTTAGGGTTTA